TCGGTTGCACGCGGCACACGAAGTCATCGCGGTGCGCAGAATCATCATTGATAATTGAAATTCAGTTCCGAAATTTGGACCCCTGTTCATTGCTCCACATGGGGCGAATGAATCACGGGACGTCCTTCTTGTAAAATGTGAATCAAATGTAGGCTAAATATGAAACCAACTGAAGTACAACTCAATGATTTAAGTAAGAGGAATTAGATTTAAATGTAATTTTAAAGGTAGGTTTCGTTGCAGCAGATTTGAAACATTAAATTTGAGTTTCGATAACGCTTCATTTTGCTCCAATTCAAGGCTGAATTGGAGCAATCTGAATTATATCCACACATGGTCAAATTAAACAAGTAAGTCGATGAATGACCTCAGACTTATTTGAAGACAACTTCAGCAAGATTTTCCTTTCAGCCAGTGATGATCGACCGCCATTCATAATTGTTCTCTAGGAAATCAGACTCCCGAAATGGTCTCGACAAGCATGATCCGTGTTTTTTTTTTCCTTTTCAAAACCTGAAAGTCGCTGTTAATTGATATAATCGAATTCGGAGTGATTTGAGAAAACGGTAGGGAATCATTTCGAATCACATTGGAATGGGACATGATTCTACGTTCATTCCTATCTCACCAGTTCCAGAAATTAGAGGAGTATTTCGTCCAAAAAGCCTAAACTGGAGATAATTCCGGAAATAACAGGAGTAATTTGCCCAGAATCCCTAAAATTCTTGTGAATGGGAATAAAAATGAGTACTCGTTTCCGCCTATTATTCGTCGACGAGAGAGATCGAAATTCAATATCATCCGAACACGACGATTCCACAAGCGCCATAAAAAATAAATAACGTGGCAATCAAAGTCGATCTGGATGACAGCCGAGAATAAAGAACGAAGATGCACCTCAAATAAAAAAAAAAAAAAAACATCTGCACATGTACGATTCTTGGGTGCTTGAAAAAGAAGAGGAAAAAAAGGCCACGATTTTTCTTCATTCGCCCCGAGAAACGCATCGTGAAATCCGAGTCGAAATCACGAGTTTGCCCGTGACGCAACAACTCATCCCCTCATCTACTTTCCGGCACGAGAAAACATCAAGTAAACTGGAGCTATACCGAATCGCCTCAAGGATGAGAAGGGAGAAAAAAATTGACACGATGTAAAATAAGAAAAAAAAAGCAAAAGACAGAGAGGTAAAAACCAGAAATAAACGAAATGGTCGTGATCGGCGAATCAACCTTCCTCGCTGCAAACAATCGATCACGAGCCACATTACATCACGAGCGCACGATGAGTCCAGTTACGATGATCTTTCATAAAATCGCTGTACTTTTCAGCAGGTCGAACTTGCACATACAACACGAATATGTTTCCGATAATTCGTGTCTCACACACACTGGCACTACCCAACGTCTCGGCAACGAATTAGACAGTTTGAGAAACATTGATTGGAACGTTTCTCAGACAAATCGACTCCTACAACTTTAGAACACTTACTGTACTTGCATTCATAGCCATTTCCAAAATGACAACTAAAATAACCTAACTTTAAACCCAACAACTCGAATGCATCATTACCTGCTTGCGTAAGAAACTTGTGAATAGCGTCCCTAATCCATCCAAAAACTTGACTAAAATTAACCGCGACTCCAACAGCCAAATTGTAACTAATCTGATATAATATCTCACCTTCATTATAAACCGAAACAAAAATCCAAGCTGCAATCAACCAAATATAATAACATAATAATAACCCTAAATTGATGCTAGTCGCGCTAAACCTAACCAATAACATAAGAGCTAAGCCACGCAAATATTAAACATTAAACAGTCCAACCTAACATAAAAATTATAATTGAAGTAACCTCGGACTCAAGCCATGAAGCAAAAAGAACCTTGTAATTTTAAAGTACTGTACAGTAATATCCAGCGTGATTTAAAAATATCAGTATCTTGAACGTAGATTGACAGATCGGCACAATATTGCATT